GGTGAGAAGGGGGCAGAGGTATGGGGGAAAAATAATAACCAAGATATGTCATATAAATTACAAGACCCCAATGATAAATGTAATTATATTGTTTGCTTTAAATGTACCAATAAACTTAATGGCAATAAAAAGTTAACATTTTCTTAGAAAAAAAGGAATCTAGTAACTGTAGAATATAAACATGTTGATTCCTGTTTGTTTCTTACTGTGTGATCTTAAGCAAGATATATAACCTAGCAAGCAGTTCGGTATTCTTTTGTGTCATGCAAGGCTAATACTATCCTCGGAGGAATGGTTTGAGTATTAGAGAATGTACATACTTGTAAGTATCTAGCACATGCCGGCTACATGGTTCAGTAAACATTTCTCTTGATAGGCTTAATAAATTGTGAGGTCAAGTTAGATAAACTAATTCAGCATCTCTTAGTTGCCAAAGGTTTTCTTTTTTTTTTCTTTCTTCTTCTTCCTGTTTTTTCTCTCATGTCATCATCCCACTCTCTCAAAAAATAAATCAAACCTCTTACAGGAAAGAAGGTGGAAGGTTTGGCTTTGCAGAATCTATAGCAAATCAAAGGATTACAGCATTTAAAATGGAAAAAGCCTCCATTGATACTTCTGACATTGAGGAAAAAGCAGAAGAAATCATTGCTGAAGCTGAACCTCCTTCAGAAGTGTATCTTTTATTGGGTACTCTTTGCAGTAACAAGATTTATAATACTTTGAGCTTTATTAAAGCTGTATATGCACACTGACATTTGTTTTCTGAAATATGTATTATGTTAAATACTTAGTGATATGAGTCATATTAATGATGGTGTAAAATTCAGGTTCTCTAGTTACACTGCAAAAAACAGAAAAATCTTATTTTAAGAACCAGGTAGGCCGGGCGTGGTGGCACACGCCTGTAAACCCAGCACTTGGGAGGGAGGCTGAGGCAAGAGGATCGCTATGAGTTCGAGACCAGCCTGGGCTACACAGTGAGTTCCAGGGCAGTGTGAACTACATAGTGAGACCCTGTCTCAAAACAAAACAAAACAAAAAAACAGTTAGGGGCTGAGGATATAGCTTAATGGTAGAGCATTTGCCTGCAGCAGTGGTGGCAGGCCAGTGGCACATACAGAATTGGGCTGTTTGTTATCATTGAAAGCTCTACAAGGTTCACCATCAGTGGCCTAGAACACGTGTGAGATCACCAATTTGACTCCTAGTACTGCAGAAAAACCAAAAAGTAAAAAATAACAGTACAGCATTTTGCTTTCCTTAGAAAGTTATTCTTTTATGTTGATAGCATGGTCAAGGACACTGGTAATTTTGTGCTGGGAATCAAATCCAAGGCTTTGTGTGTGCTTGGAGCAGTCTGTCCATGAGTGCTGCTACTCAGCCACACTATTAATTGTCCTTGCAATCATTCTTTCACTAAATTTATTACTGTTAATAAAATGTCAAGGGTCTGTCTCTTGATTTTTGTACTGTTATTTATAAACTCTTGCCTGAGTTAATTTTGTTTTTCTTCATTGGATAGCCTTCCATAGCATAGCTTTTTTCCTTGAGAATCTGAAGAACACTTGAATCAATCTTACAAAAAAATTGGCTGTTTAGTCTATCAAGTAGCAGTGCCTTGCTCTTCAGTTTTCTTAACTTGGTAAGTGTTTCTCAACCCGTGCTCTGGACCTCTGGAACTGCCCAGATTGGAGAGGGAGTAGAAAACTCCTGGGGTGATCTTGAAGACTCTGACAAAGATGAGGATGAAGGTGGCAGTGATGAAGCTGTCATTCTTGACACTGTAAAAATGGACACTAGAGCAGAAGTTTCTGATATTGGAAGCCAAGGTAGGTGAAGATTTATGGTTTTTATATGATGGTTTACAAAATATATCTACAGATAATAATGTATATTAACTATATAGATAAATCAGAAACCTATAGAAATATTGATACAGCTGTATATAGAGATATCCTTTTTAGGTGGGGCTGTTTTGTGATTTAAATTTCAACTAAGTAAGACTATAATATCAACACCAATTCTTTTGTTTTTTATCTTTTGTATACATATCAAGGCCCATAGTACTCACAGTACTTTTTGTAATACAAAATATTTTCTCTATACATTGTCCAGTACAGTAGCCTCTAGCCCTGTGTAACTATTGTAGCTTAGATGATCAAGGAACTAAATTTTAAATTTTAGTATAAAATTAACTACATGAGGCTAGTGGTTATTGTATTATAAAGTGCAATATTAGAATTCACAAAATTCTGGAGATGCCTGGAATGATGTCAGTCCTACCTGTTCCTGCCTGGCCTGCATAGTAAAACTATGAAATGCTTTATGTAGTACACACAAGTCACAATGTTCTTGGAATTAGTCTGGCAAGGAACTAGAGGATACTTACTAAATCTGGTGATTTCTGTTTTGAGTATAATGCATGTAGTACTTGCCTTCCTTCATAAAAGGAAGTTATTGATATGAACATGGAGAATCTGCTGGATTTTGGTTTTGGAAATTAGGAAAATAGGTGAAGGGGGAAAAAAAATCTCTATTGATTGGAAACCTTGTGCAGCTTTTCCAGTGGCTTTCTTTTATTTGGTATTATTACTCCAGAACTTGTTCCATGCATTTATTCACTATATAGGGACTGAAGTAAGCTGCTTCAAAACAGGGACTACCTTTAGTTTTTTCACGTCAGTATATAATATCAGCCACATTATTTAAAAATTTTTAGAATTCTCTATCACTGAATGGATCTAGTTGGTTTAACCATTCCCTTACTGGTGAATGTGTTGTCTCTATTTCTTCACTGCTAGAGACCTTATATACTTGTACACATCTCTTTGGTTAGTTAGTATAGTAATTTTAGCCTCTAAGAATAATGTTAATAAATAAGTGTGTTTCTGGTTTGAAGAATACTTTCAATTGAATAAATACAAAGTGAACCTGAGATAATTTGGGAGGATGGAGCATGTAAAGACTTTCTAAATTGTAAACAAACTGAAAGCTAAAACTGACTTGATATACAATTAATCAACCGGGAAAAGGGTTAATTCACATCAGTGTAATGGCCTGATAATGGTAACATTCTTCATGGTCAACCATGGTAATAAATGACAGCATTTTTTAAGCTGCTGTATTAGGCAATATTAAGAATAGCAGCATTCACAAATAGATATGGGAAATGGGTTTTCCATTTACTATTTCTTATAATTATGGAGTAGTTTGTGGCAGTTTCTGGAAGGATATGGCGAATGTATGTGTCTTCTTTCCCAACAGTTTTGCTTCTGGGAATTTTTTGGTGCTTTTAAAAGGAGAAAAGCAAAAATAAATCCTAAGATTGTATCTCTTTTTAGAATAACACAGTTGAATTGAATGTATTAGGTTCATTTTCAAATTGATTCTATAAAAGACACTATATATTTCCCCCTAATGTCTCCATTACAACATGGTATCAAGTACAGTTTTTAGGGCTAAGTTTTCCACACAAGAGTTTTTCCAGAGCTCTAGGATTCTACTTCAAGGAAATAAATTTTGGGAACAAAGTACATGTATTTATAAGCCTCCAGAGTAACTTGGGCTTTTAGTATGCAAATGGTAGTTTTAGAACCTAATAAGCTTGTGGACATTTTACTTATACTGTCTTTTTGGCATTTTTGTAGATGAACCAATTGTACTCTCAGATAGTGAAGAAGAAGAAATGATCATTTTAGAACCGGACAAGAACCCAAAGAAAATAAGGTAACAAAATTCCTGGTTTATTTCAAATATATACACATGCTTGGAACTTTAGTGATTTGCCCTCTGGTTTTACTCTCTTCTTATTCTCCTACAACAGAAAGTACATATTCAACTATTCTTTCTCTGGTTTCTTCACCCTGTGATTTACAAAAATTAAGTAGGATGTCTTTCAAAGTTATTGTATTTTATTCTTATAGCTGCCACATTGTGTGTGTGTGTATTTTTTAAATTAAAAGGCCTATTTCAGTGATCCAACATTTGAGAAGCATAGTTAGTGAAATGTTAATTTACTTTATTCACAGAATGCAGAACACCAGTGCAAAAGAAAAGGCACCAAGTAAAAAGCCAGCGAAAAAGAGAAAAAAGAAGAGAGCTACTAACTAAAGCTAACACAGTGATATGTTTGTGTATATATACCTATTAAAAGGATATTTATTCATTGCTAACAATGACTGGATACTTTTTATTCACAATTCCACTGTAGTGAGTCTTTGGGGATTTTTAAATATTGAGCTTTAAAAAGAACATTTTAGGAAATTTTTTAATTTTTACAAAGCTTTCCAACCCATGTGTAACCTCAAAACTTTAACAGGTTGCACATAACATTTTTCATTGTACAGTAAACTGTAAGCCAAGTTAACTTTTCTAAGGGAAATACGTCATAGTTTCATCACAAAGTAAATCTGACTTACAGAAATCAAGATTTCCAAATCAGTTTATTAATTCTTATCCTGACAGCTGCCATCGTTAATACTTTTAACAAAACCACTTAAAATTAGCCAGATATCTAAGGTACATGTACAAAAGATATACAAATTAAAACCATTTAAAAAAGAATAGATACCATAATTTGTCCTTGGCCGGAACTTCTTATGTTCAGAATGCTTGTGAAATTAAAACCTAAGGTAAAAACTGTACACCATGTGTTCCGAGTGACTGAACAAGGGCAGTCTTTCACTGTCACACATTTAGTGTCTCTGGGGGATTGAGGAGAGAAACACCATGATACCTGTAAGGGGGGGGGAAATCTTTTAGTAAACATTCCTGGGAAGAAGGCGACTCTCATATAACAATACATACACTACAAACTACAAAATGTTTCCATCTATAAGGTTAATCAAAATCACTGCTGATCCTAACATGCATGAAGCCTTCCCACCCGCCCCAACCCTCTAGCAAAAAAAGCATTAACTACAACCTTCTCCAAACACATGACCTGTTAAGAGAACAGCTTCTTAGGAGTCTGTGGCAGATTAGTGTGACCTTTAATAAAGTTAAAATGTCAGTTTCTGAACCATACTCTGGAAAAACAAGTATCTTCATTATCTATTCAAGTCTTACTTTGAATTTTTGTACTTTTCTCTTATTGACTGTTGTGCATGCTGTGGTGCTTTGAGGTAGGTCTGGTGAAGGTCCATAAGACAAGGCTTAAGACTTTCCAGGGTATATCCAGTCTTTCGAACTAATGATTCAGGCTGCAGAGAAGGGAGTAAAGAACTACTGTTTTTTTGTTGTTTAGTAACACAACAAACTACAGTAGATACAATGAATTAATAGCTGCCTCAAGTTTAAATTTCATCACAACACAGACAACTGACATCGCATTTTGTGAGGCCACTATTCCAACTTTCATGCTGACTTATATATTTGTACTGCTTTCCCTGCCAACAGATCAGATGGGCCAGATTGTTTAGGCACACCTTTTAAATCCAAGTTATAAATACTTTTAGATGTTGATTCACTAGATAAAAAGGTCTTAAACAGTATATATATATTTGAGCAGTTTTTCCACATAAGATCTAGACAGCCATCAGTTCTATGTGACAATTATTTAACTTATCTGGTACCAGCATATCAGCCATACAGATGATGTGTGAAGACAATGTTAATACATACCCAGCTTTGTCCTGTAACTGTGTAGAGTGCTAAATGAAAGGCTGCTCCAGCGATAACTGATGGCAAATACTTTAGGTATGGGTCAGCATCTATCAAACTTAATTCTCCCAAAAACTGTAATGAAAAACATTCAGGATCACAAGAGTTCTAGAAAGCAAAACCCTTACCTTCTGATATAATTTTTTTCTATCTTTGATTTCAGGCTCTAGAAACAATGGACAAAATATTCTACAGCTTCATCTTTAAACATACCTACTATTTTAATGCTTTGCTCCAGTCTCCTATATTTTCCCTTTTAGACTACCTCTCCCAAGACTTTATCCTCAAATTGCTAACTTAGTACTTTACCAGTATGGTCATCTCTTGGTACTCATAGGGAAACCTCCAGAAAACCTCATCCCCAGATAACCAAAATCATTGACACCCAAGTCCCTTATATGACAATACTATTTTCATATAATTCACATCTTCCTATATACCTTAAATCAAGATCATTTACAATACCTAATAAATATAAATGCTACATTTAGAGAATGACAAGGAAAAAGTCTATATATTCAGTACAGATGCAAGTTTTTCCCTGAATATTTTCAGTTGGTTGTTGGTTGAGTCCATAAATGCAGAACACGGTTATGGAGGGCCAACTATATGTTGGATTTCATAAATAGTAGGCTTTTTTCCTAGATTGCAACATTCATTTGTCCCTGGAATATTGAATCTCTTGAGCAAAGCTACACTAATGAAACAACAGCTTTTAATTATTAAGAATCTCCAACAAAATGAAATTAACTTACCATTGCTAAGCTTTCAACTTTGTAGTTTGCAGGCTGCTGATGCAGAAAGTACTGGGTAAGAAACTGATTTACTGTTGGTGCAGCTAAGTCAAAAGCAAGGACTTTCAAAACTAAATGTTCCATTCTCAGAACTTGTTTCTTCGTATAAGTATCATCTGTAATGTACACAAACTCTGCTACTTCTGGGGGATAGATTTCTTCAAACTTTCTACAATGAAAAAAGTTTTAAATAAGTCCTAAAAGGCAAACAAAGTTCCTTATCCAAATTCTGAAATCCCATTAGCAGAATATATGGAAATGATTTCAGAACCCACACCCTATACCAAATGCATTTCCACTGTAACTTGACCATCATTTTTAGCAGACTATGAACTATTGCTTAAAAGGCTTAAATCAATAAAGGACTTCTGAGATACTGCTCCCAGCTCAAAAGAAATGCATGAGAGGTATGAAGTTTTCTGAGGTGGGACCAATGCAAGAGTTCACCATGTGGATGAAAATTTAGGAAATACAAGTCTAAGAAAATTAAACATTTCATGTTTTCTTTTGTTTTAATGTCCCAGTGGGGAAAATATACTGCTTATATGCCAGACAGTATTTTATTTTGGAAGGAACCACATTATTTCTAAAGTGTAATTTAGTAGGTGTAGCCAGTCTCTCTGTTCAAAGTACCCTGAAATCTAGATCTTAGATTAATATTCTGGATTAGAAAACAACGTCATCCTTTTTTTTTTTCCTCTCAACTTACACAACACATCCCATCCCTAGTGACTTTTTGCTCTGTGATTCTACTGCTTCTGGGTGAGTGTATGTCTGTGTGGTATGTTAAAATGTTACAATCTTTAAAAATCATAATTTATTTTCTATACAGAAGGATAGTGACAATAAACCCGATGAACCCAATGAACCAAGCTGGACTTACGAGGCTAGCAGCATAGCTGCAGTGCCCACAAGCTGAAGCTTTCCTCTTAGCACAGACATTGAAGAGAGGAACCTATCAATGTAGTTCACAGCCAAATGCAGGGTCTCATTCTGCAGTTTATATTCCTCTCCCACTTCAACTAACCAGTCCACGAGGATAGCCCTCATACTGTTAGTGATGTCCGGCTGCTTCTTCATGTAACCCACTTTAGGTTTACATTTCACCTGGTAAGAAAAGTTCAGTAGTGTTAAAACTGTAATTATCTTATCTTCCCATTAACAGACATGCTACCATAGACAAGAATAGCATTAAGAGTAATTTAAAACTTAAATATTACAGACAGGCATGGTGGCACATCCCTACAATCCCAGTAATTTGGGAGGCTAAAGCAGAATTCCAAGTTCAAGCCCAGCCTGGGTTGGGGATGTAGCTCAGCTCAAAGGCCTTAGGATTAATCCCCAGTACCACAAAAACAAACAAAATTTAAGCATTATTCTCTGAATTTCATTTAGTTACATTTAATGAATATATTACACAAACAGGAATCGGAGAGCCTTTACCTCCATCTCCCTAAGGTATGTATGAATATCTTCATGGTAGTCTGGTACTTCATTAACACTCACTGGCTTTTCCTCTTCTAATACAATCGACATGTCCATAGTATGTGGTGAATCTGGGACAGTTCAAAAGTTATGATCAAATTAATTGTTTACTTTTCTATTTGACAAAATGTCTGCCCTTGTAAGAAGTCCTCATTACCAGGCATTTATTTATTTCATCCAACTAAAAGATTTCCTATGTCCAAGTACACACAATATTTGACTCTAGTCTTAGCATCTGTCCATATAGCTTTAGAATGATTTAGAAAAAGAATTACTAATAGGCTAACCAGAGGGTAGAGGATTACAAGAACAGATGGTAGGTACAATGATTCTGTTAGGACCAAGAACTTAAAATCCAAGTTTTGAGGTGGTGTCTAAGGTTTGCCCTGAGAGATTGCAGACCTCATAGTATGACACATTCAAAGTACAACTAGGCAATAGCTCAAATCAAGTTATATGGTTTCTAATAACAAGTGTTAATAATTTTTATGGGAGTTCAAATAGATTAACACTATAATCAATAAGTGACTCAATTTTTATCATTTAAAATTTTCCACTTCAGCGATCACTTTGATGTTAAAAATATCTTGCAAAATTTGATGAATAGGGTGTAGTTCTGGTAGAGCACTTGCCTACCACACGAGGCTCTAGGTTCAATGCCCAGCACAAAAATAAAATCAAATAAAAATTTCTTCTTGCAAAACTTGAACGAAAATTACTTCTAAAGGATCTTCTTGCTCCCAAACCACTGGCCAATCAGTGGATTAGTGAGCTATCATGTCACTTAATAGCTTTATGGTAAAGAAACAGCACAAATCACAGATTTGTCTGAGCAGCTACAAATGGGTTAGGGCAAACAGACACCTATTAAGACACCGTACCAAGTGGGGTATAGTGTCACTTTCGGGTATCACATGATCCACTCAAACCAGCTTTACAGAAAGAGGTTTGTTTTCACAGTATGTAAGACTTCACCCTCTACTACTCTTTGAAGTGGAGGTACACCAGTCTTATGAATGCAAGCAAACATGTGGGACAGACTAAGCATTTAAGATCTAACCGCATTAGACCTGGAAGGAATGTCAGGTTAGGATTCGGTGTATGTAGGTCACTAGGCCAAGTGTTAGCAGTGATATCTGAAATAAATTACACCTATCCTAAGCCTACTATTAAAGTAAACCTAACTCACTCTATCATACTAATCAGGTAAGGTAGTCTTAACATGCAAAATATTAACCTAGTCAAATAATTACAACTTGATAAAGATTTTCCTTAAAACTTACCAAAACTACCATCCATTGGATAATCAAGAGGTACCAGTGGTTTTCTTGGTCCCGGTAAAGCAACAGCTGTATTAAAAGCCAGGACATCTTCACACTCTGGTTTTTTTGATTCAGATGGCCTCTTCTGAGTGTCATCCTCTGCTTCATCCACATGAATGGTGAATGCAGGCTGTTTACTGTTTGCTTTCCAAGGTGGTAGAGTAGCAACGTTTTCATCGTTGACAGGAAGATCTTTAAGAGGTGCAACCTAAAAGGAAATTACTGGCTTTCAATTTATTAAACGCAGTTTGCCTTCTTCACCTTAAGGGTCTGAGCCTTTCCTTTTACTCCCAAATACATTATCAGGAAAATTAAATTTTCTGAGACAAAAATCCAGGAATACTTTGAGTTATCAAAGGGATGTACCAATTTGTCATATGCATTACTACAAAGACTAAGAAAAACTAGGTGGAGTCACAAACTAATCAAGGGCAAATGTCAAACCATTAGATGACAAGTTGAAGAAAAGGCATGGGGAGAAAAAAATACTGTTTCACCACTTTCGCCCCAGGGTGGAGCAACAGAGCAAATCTGGCTAAGATGGCGGAATCTACCAAAAATGAAGTATTTTTCACTTTTTCCTCATTATCATTAAGCAGATAGAGGGAAGGGAGCCATGTCCTGGGGCAGTGCCCGGCGTTTAAAAGTGGAGGGAAAGGTACAGAGCAAAGACGCCAAACACTACCCATTCTGTAAGACTTGTTTTGACCCCATTACACATAAAGATGCCTCCGATACAGAACAGATCGCCGCGTAGGCACTCTGCCAGTAGGGGCTGTAATGTTGGAGATTGGGGGAAAAAAACTACAGCAGTGTCCTACAAACTACAAAATCAGGGACTCAGTGGACTCCAAATCTAAGCCGAAAGAAAGAGAGAGAGGAAGGGGAGAGAGAAAGAAAGGAAAGAAAAAGAAAGGAAAGAAAAAAGGAAAGGAAAGGAAAGGCTTTCTAGACACTAGTCTGCCTGCTTAGCCCATGCCCAACTCCCATTCAGGCCACTCTCCTACAGAAGAGTCGCATCCACTTACCCGCCGCGTCTTCAGCCTCTGCTGCGGCGCCGAACAACGCGGGTTCCCGGACTTCAGGACCGCCAGGCCGGCCTGAGCCCGCGGCTGATGGACAGGCACCGCCTTGTCTGGGTTG